GCTTTCTCACACCATAATAAAATGGAACAGAAGGAGTACATAAAACAAAAAATATTAGGTCGAATTTTTAAAATTTTTAATTTGCCAATCAATTTAGTTATTTCCAAGACTGTTTTCCTGCCCTGGCTCCTCAGAGAACAGAACGGATCGTCCCAGTGTCCGCAGTCACCAGTCTGAAGGCTGGACAATGACAGGCGCACAGCCGGGTCGGTGGGGCACAGCTCCTGCTCCTTCTCCAGCCCTGCCATCCCCAGGTCAAACGACAGGACGGAGGGGCTGAGGGACGGGTCCAGGCCCAGTCCCGAGTCAGCAGGAAGGCAGCGGGCGTCGGCACTCACGGTCACAGCGACTCAAAGAGGGCTCGGTGGGATCTTCACAGAGGGATGAGCACTTAGGAAGGCGGGTGGTCCTCCCCCCTGATGCTTCGATACTTAGCCATGTCTTCCGGAAATACTTTAGAAAGTTCTTGAATCAACAAGCTTTTAAATTTCTACAAAGAAAAAGATACAACGCCAGATATCTTTGTTTGCTTGCAGCCCATTGTCCAAGTTCAAGACCACACACCACCCCCTGCATGGAGCTCTCAAACTCCTAAAGGACAAACGCCAGACATCCCTCCCCAGGAGCTGCCCGCATAGACCACATGGCAGGCCAGTCGTGGACGAGCATTGGCAACCCTGCTAAAGGTACACTCGCAACTACCTCCAAGAGGACTACGTGTTCAAATAACACATTTCCCTCTTGCTCAAATTAGAAGAAAGAGCACTCTTGGAGGAAGCCAGCCACACAGGTGGAAATGATTTTTGCAGACAGCACACATAACAGGAATCTTCAAATAATATTTAATTAAGCAATTATTAACTTGAACCACATCAAACTCACTGTGTGCAAACAGCTCAATGAAAAGCTTTCCACACACCTGGGAACATATTATCTATTCCAAATGCTGCAGCTTCCTGATCCTACTCAACAGCATAACATTTAATACGATCATAAAAGCATGAAAGATCCTCCAGCATCTCTTATAAGCTATACTAAAAAGCAGCACTATGGGCAAAAACATAAAAACATACATCATTTAAAAATAAATTTTCAAAGGGGCTGTTCACTCTAGCACTACAATAACTATTTAAAATATAACTTTGGGAAGTTTAAATACATGACCCACTGAGAAAGGAAGGCCACAGAGCAGACTTGAGACTTTCACAGACCTCAGATGAGAGGACACGACCCTGACAGGAGTGGCAACAGATGCCGATGGAAGAGAAACTGCACAGCTGCTGGGGCGCCGCCGCCAGGACGTGTCTGCCCTGCCCAAAGGCAGCAGCCTGACCGCAGCCACCACCCTCGTGGCCCAGCAGCTGTGTGCAGACAGAGCCGTGTCTGCTGGACAACACAACTCTCACTCGTCTTTGCCGAGAGGAACAAAATGATCAAAACCTTCACAACCCGCTATTGACAGAAAGCTCCATTAGGTTCTGAAGGTGAGGCTGAGTTCGACAACTCCTCGGTCGCAAACTAACAAAAGGGAGATGAAGTTGCGGGCGCCACACAAATCAACTACAACAAAACACATTTCCAGGTCGTGCTATTTACCACCAGTATAGGATCACCCGGATGAAACTCCGGGTCTCTCTGACCTGCATGTGACCATGCAGGTCTCCCAACAGAGCTCCTCCCCTCGCCGAGAGCACCCTCTGAGTGCCAAGAGGCTACCCTGCGACCATGCCCACCTGCACGCAGCAGACACACCTGAGCACAACTGTGCCAGTCCGGCACCAGGCGGGCACCAGGCATCAGTGGGAACAGAACACTCGGTGCCCTGCAATCCTGGCACTTAAGCAGCTGGTGGAGGGGACAGAACAAATAGAGAAAAAGAAATAAAATGGTGAATCCTGACCCATGCTCTCAAGGGAAGAAACTTTAGAAAAGGCTGGTAGAAAAGGCCTAAGGAGGCGAAATCAGCTGAGACGAGAGGACAGAGTCAGCTGTGCAAAGAGAACATGGAAGAGTTCCAGGCAGAGGAGACAGCAGGAGAAGAACGCAAAGGAAAGGGGCCGGGTATATTCCAGAAACAGACACCTGGCCAGCAAGGATGAGGAAGGGGCAAGGGCCGCGAGCAGGCAGGAGAGGCAGGCAGGGCTGCGTGCTGCAGGCACAGCTGCACCGCACCAAGGAAGACAAGAGGCCACTGAAACCCAAATAAAGAAACAAAACGCCAAGGTGAACCATATTTGAGTGAATTTAAGTAAGAAAAAAATCATATATTTCATGTTCAAGATGCAGAGAGGTCTCTAAATCTCATCAAGGCAAGGAGAAACGGTAAGTTCTCTGGAGAATTTCATGGTAGTGGATACAGTAAAACCGAGTTTGCAGGTCAGAAGCTGGAGAAAGAGAAGAAAATCAAGACTCAAGAATCCTGCAAACCAAAGAACCATGATTGTAGGGAAAGCCTCAACAGAGGGACTCAACACGGAAGCTAACAGGAAACCCCGTGTGATCAAAGTGCAAACTTGAGGTACCAAAGCCTTAACAATGAGAACAATCACAGCCAGCCAGTGACAACTACCAGTTGCAAGAATTAACCTGGATTTTCTTAAAAGATTACCCGTTTGTCCTTTATGCTACCACACGGCTCAGGTATATCCAACTTTACCTACTGCCTATTACATAATCCAGCAATCTCAATTGGTAATGTTATCAAACAGCCGATGTTCTACCGAACACGGGAAAGAATGACCAAGTCTCAAGCGGGTTTCGCTGAGCAGGCCTCTTTCCAGCGCACGTTCCGACACCATTTCTGCTCAACGTCTCACCTTCATCGTGTCGATCTTGCCTTTCACTTGCTCATTTTTAGCCAGGGCCCTCTCCAGGCACTCTTTGGTGTAGAGCTGGGGGTTTCGACCTTGATCTATATATCTGGATACAGGAAACATCTCAATTAGCATTCTCACAAGTGATACCTATTTTCACAGTTTTCTGAGAGCTATGCAAAAAAAAGTTAATCTTCTGGGAAGAGGCTTCGAAAAGAAAAAACAGTCAGCTATAGATAACTGCACATGGCCTTGTTTAGACAAAACTGAGTCCAGGAACCAAGGGAATTAAGATTCCCTCATTTAAACAAGTACTGATAATTTGATCTCATATAAATTCTAACATGAATAGCTCATGAAATCAAGTAATGATCGCTTATAAACTCAAGCAAGCTTCACAAGCCATACCACTCTACACTTACTCAGCATTTGTATTTTTCAAAATGCTTTCATGCTGTTATCTTTTTGATCCTTACAACAACCTATAAGGTAAGGCAGCGCTTGACAAAAGGGAAATTAAACACAGTTCAGGGGTTCAGGCCCGGTTGCCACAGGGCAGCCCAGCCAAGACGCAGCCTCTGTGAAGGAGCTCCCGGGGAGTGGGGGGAGTAGAGCTATAAGCATTCAGAGTCCCCGCCCTGGGCTGCCCCAACATTATTTTACAAATTGTTCCATTGCTTTAAAAAAAAAAAAAAATGAGGTGGGGGGGTGGGGGGAGCTGATATACCACTTTACTAAACACAACTAAGTAACTTAAATACAACAGAAATTCTGTCCAATAATTTCTAAAAAGTATAAACCTGTTTCTTGAAATTTAACACTTTCTCCCAAAATATCTTTGTTATCCTGAAGATTTAATTAAGCAACTGTCTAGCTCAGTATCTAATTTTCACCAAGAGTGGACCACCTCCCTATTTCTGTACCCTGAGGAAATCCATATCATTCAAGTAAACTGAATTATTCATTATAAAAAACTTAAAAAAACATCAACTAAATTCAATTTAGTTTTACTTAGGCAAAAAAAATACATAATCACTTCAGATTAAAGATGCAATTAAGGGCGGGGCGTGGTGGCTCATGCCTGTAATCCTATAGCACTCGAGACCAGATTACTTTTCAGGTTGTTTCTGGTTGTGATTTTTTTTTTTAATTTATAGTATTGCCTACACAACTTTTTACCTCTTAAGGAAAAATGGAAGTTATGTGGTTGTTCCTTAGTCTAAGCAGGACTTTGAGAGCCTATGATGTTTTTCATATATTTAATAAACTTTTATTTACATGTAACTTTTTTCAATAATACATTAAGGAGATTTTCTTTTTAATTTTTTAATCCAATTAAAACGTAAATTCCATGACGGCAAGTATTTTTGGCCATTTTTTTCACTGGCATATGCCCAGCATCTTGGCTATGCCTACCACACAGCAAGGACTCAATGTCAGTGAGTGGCGGAAGCAGTCATTAATACCACAACCACACAAGATTTATACCCGAGATGAATATCAAGAGTGATACTTACTCAAACACTTCTAAAGGCACAGTGATATCATGAAGTTGCTGTCTGCACTTATCAATATCCTGCAAGCCAGTAACAATAAAATTCCTGGGGAAAAGGCAAAAACAGAGGCACTTGGTTAATGCACACGACAGCAGAAGCGCCACTCACAGAACCACCCAGCCAACCAGGGCTCACACAGTCCTTACACATCCACACGTCACACACGGCTCACACCTCTTTGATCGCGATGATACACTGAGAGTTACAGAAGACCCTTAAATATTTGTTATTTTCCTAAACTACAAATTGCCAGTAAGGGGGGTGGGGACCAACCCTTTTGAGACACTGATGAAAAATTATGAACTTTCTCTCAAAAACCATAACCCCGTTGCGTGGTTTCAGCACACACATGGGGCAGGGAGCTATATATACTCAAAGTCTGAGGAAAAGGAAGCCTCCTGCCTAGTTTAACTTCAGCTCCCCTCTGGAGCCTTCCTACATCACCGCGCTGGCCCAGGGTCCTGGCTACCCCCAGAGCACTGGGTATGGAACCCCAGGTTGTAATTATTTGTATGCCTGTGCCCGGTATAAAGCAGTGAGCCCTTCTCTAGGGCCTGTTATTTGCGTGTTTGCCTTCCCTTCAACCCAGGGCCTAGTACCATGACCAAGGCTGTTGCCCCAAAACACTAAGGGTTCTGCGGCCTTTCTCACCCCACTTCACGCCCTAATTCTTTCCCAGTCAGGCCTATACAGAAGGTAGCTTCGAAGCCTCACCCTCCTGCAGCCTACTTCAGTGCACTTGCTGTGAGCCTGCCTCCCCTCTGGGGACAAGGACAGACCTCCCCAGAAGGGCTCCAAGATGAACTACTGGCAGGGCTAGAATAGAAAGCATTATTCCCTTGATGGAGCCCCAGAAATGGAAACTGTATCGTCTGGCCTTGACTACGTTTCCAAATGGGCTCTCAAGAAATGGTGCCTGCAAGGAAAAATGAAAAGACAGCGGGGTGGCAACAGGCGGCAGCGGAGGGCCCAGCCCCGAACACAGCCAGCAAGGCGGCCCCCACGAAGGCGGACTCCCGGACCCGACCCAGAGGCGGACGGAGCAGGGCCGCGGCTCAGGCCGGCCGTGGCTCCCCAACCCCGCTCCCCGGTCCCCAGCACACGCCGCCCGGCCCGCCCCGGGAAAGACGCCGCTTGCCTCCGGCCAACACTCACAGCTTCTGGTTGAGCCCGGCCTGGCTGCTAGGCTGGAAGTCACTGACGATGATGCCAAGCTGCCGAATGTTCTCCACGAACTTCTCCAAGTGCTCCTCCAGGTGGTCAAACTTCTCCGCCATCGCCCCAGCCCGACGAGCCCCTCACAGTAGCAACCACCACCCCCGCGAGTTCAGCTCTGCTCTCCCACTTCCTGCTTCCGCCTGGGCAGATACCACTTCCGGTGGACGGCCGTCTGGGGCAGGGCCTGGCGCTGGGGCGGGGCTTCTTGTGGGGCGGAACCGGTGCTGGGGCGGGGACTGGAGCTGGGGCGGGGCCTGAGTGCCCGGGCCGGGCTCGTGTAGCCGTTGATGCCTCCTTGTACTCTGATAACTGCTGCCAGTCCATCAGAGGTGTCTGGGCCTTGGGAAAAGTTGAAGACTCCCCTCAATGCAGCGTCTTCAAACAACACCCACTTAGACAAAAATCCAGAGGCAGTCTCCCTGGAATCTTGAGGTCAGCTCTGGCCCCTCTTCTTTCCCCCTGCACGTGATGAGCCGCCACCTGCTCTGACTCTTGCTTCCAAGCCTCGTCCTCATCCCTGCCGCCCTCCTAGGCGGAGCCTCCTCGGCCAACTCTGGCAAAATAGCGTCTTCTGAATTTAACAACAGTTCACGTCAGGGAAAATTTTAGAACAAGGTGGAAATGAAATACTTGACAAAAAAAAAAAAAATTGCAGAGAGGTAGGATATGAGGTTAACAGTCCTTCTCAATTTCCCAAGAAAGAAGGATTGATATCAATGGAACCTAGGCTTTGAGAAGTATTTATTTTTAAAAATTAAGGGTATATCTTTACTGGAATATATAATTCCCAAACTAGTAGAGAGGGGAAAGGGAATAAATATTAATAAAACACAATCAATTCAATAGATGGCAAGAAATGGAAGGAGTAAAAGAAGCAAAGAACGAGCATGGAAAATAAAAAGCACAAAATAAAAGAAATAAAGACGGCTCAATAGCAATAGAACAGCCCAATTTTTAAATGGGCAAAGGATCTGAACAGACATTTGTCAAAAGACGACATAAAAATGGTCAATAGATATATGAAAAAATGCTCAAAATGACTAATCATCAGGGAAATGAAAATTAAAACCACAATGAGTTATCATCTCACACCTGTTAGAACGGCTATCATCAAAAAGACCAAAGATACGTGTTGGCCAGGATGTGGAGAAAAGGGAATTCTTGCACACTGTTGGTGGGAATGTAAATTAGTACAGCCATTATGAAAAATAGGATGAAGTTTCTACAAAACTCTAGAAATAAAATTACCATATAGGCCGGGCGCGATGGCTCACGCCTGTAATCCTAGCTCTCTGGGAGGCCGAAGCGGGCGGATTGTTTGAGCTCAGGAGTTCGAAACCAGCCGGAGCAAGAGCGAGACCCCGTCTCTACTAAAAATAGAAAGAAATTAATTGGACAACTAAAAATATATAGAAAAAATTAGCCGGGCATGGTGGCACATGTCTGTAATCCCAGCTACTCGGGAGGCTGAGGCAGGAGGATCGCTTGAGCCCAGGAGTTTGAGGTTGGTGTGAGCTAGGCTGACGCCACGGCACTCTAGCCCAGGCAACACAGTGAGACTCTGTCTCAAAAAAAAAAAAAAAATATTACCATATAATCCAGCACTCCTACTCCTGGGTATATTGAAAGGATTTGAAATCAGCATGTTGAAGAGACATATGCACTTTCGTGTTCATTGCAGCATTATTCACAATAGCCGAGTTGTGGAAGCAACGTAAGTATCCACTGATGAATGAATGGGTAAAGAAAATGTGGTATATACACGAATAGAATACTATTCAGTAGCAAAGAAAAACTAAATCCTACCATTCTCAGCAACATGGATGGAACTAAAGGACATTAGCTAAGTGAAATGGGCTAGACACAGGAAGACAAATACTACATGATGTCACTTATATGTGCAATCTAAAAAAGTTGAACTCATAGAGGTAGAGAGTAGAAGGGTAGTCACCAGAGGCTGAGGGCAGATGGAACAGAAAGAAAATGTTGGTCAAAGGGTACAAAGTTTCAGTTAGACAGGAGGAATAAGTTTTAGTAATCTGTTGCACAACATGGTGACTATAGTTAAAAATAAAGTATTATATATTTCAAATTGCTAAAATAATAGATTTTATACATTCTCACCAAAAAGAAACAATAATTATTTGAGGTCGTGGATCTGTTAATTACTTTGATTTAATCATTTCACAATGTATACATGAAACCTCACATTGTACTCCATAAATATAGGCATTATTTGTCAAATAAAAATATATCATGAACTGTGTTTCCCGTCATTAAATATGCTTGTCTATCACTAAAAAGACAAATATGTTGGTGATCACAATAAATGTAAACAGATTGAACTATTAGTTTAAAAGATAGATTCGCTCAGATTGGAGGCAGATTGGGAGTGCTTCGTTTTGCTGTTGTTGTTTTCATCTAGCTGTGTGTCTTTTCAAAGGCACATCCAAACAAACATGCAGAAAAGTTGAAAATGAAGGGACAGGATAGAGAAAGATATGGCAGGCAACCAAAGGAAAGTTGGTAAAGTGTATAAAAATGAATGGGAACATAAAAAGACTTTTCAAATGACAATCAACCAAGATGGTCTACTACAAGCCACTGACAACACAGTCCCATGGTTATCTAGTGCAAAAGTTGGGAAATTGTGAGGAAAAATTCAAAATCCATAATCATAGCAGGAGATTGGACTACCTCTAACAGAAAACAATAAATCCAGTGGACCCAAATATATATGAAGAATATAGAAGCTTTGAATATGTGATCAATAATTGTGATTTATGAGAAACAGTAAACTCTGAAGAACAAATTGTTTCCAAGCACATAGGAAATATTTGTAAAAACTTGACCATTTACTAAACTGTGAAGAAAGTTTTAAAAAATCCAAATTCTATCAGATAGACCGGACTTTCTGATGTCAATCTATTTATAGTAGAAATCTATATATTTATTCACTTTCTACACACACACGCACGCATTTGAAAATCAAAATACACTCTTTAAATAGCTAATGAGTTTGTATAGAGAAGATCCAATTTATGTCTGTTCTCCCAGTGTAATTATTAAAATCACTAGCTTCCATTCACTACCAAACTTGTCCCAGCTTGGTTGATACGTTATAAGGTCATCCTAGTTAACAGGAAAATTGGAAAGTATTTGGAATTAAGTGACAAGACCTTCTTATCAAACGTCTGCTTTGCTTCTGAAGTGATACTTTGAGGAAAGGTAGCTCCTGGAAATAATAAGCTGAGGTTTCAACTCAAAAAGCAAAAACAAAAAAAAATTTCAGAGAGAAATCAGAGAAATCATGTGCACCAAAAATACATAAACAACATAGAAAGGCGTGATAAAGGCAAAGACACGTACTAATGAAAACTATTTCATTAGTTTTCTTTCTAGTTGCGTTAGAAGCTACAAAGATGAACAATAAATAAAAGCTGATTGTTGAAAAATGAATCAAATAGATATGTTTCTTGCAAGTCTCATCAGGGAAGGAGACAGAGAAGAGGAAATAAACAATGTTATAAATGAGTGAGGGAAAGTAATTCAGTTACAGTGAAACTTATATGTTCATAACTTTGAAAGCTTGGAGGATGTAAACAATTTTCTAGGAAACTATCAAAAATTAACTTAAGAAAAGTAAGAAATCAGAATAGATCCCAACCTTTTAATAAACTGGCTAGTAGGCAAAAATCTCTATCAAAGAAAGAAAAGATGACAGCTTTTTACACTAGTTTTATTTTAAATCAAATATTAAAGAACAAATAATTTCAAACTTACCTAATTTCAGACACTGCAAAAAGAAGAAATACATCCTAGCTCATTTCTAAAGAGTAGTATAACTTTGGTAAGAAAATCAGGCAACAAGGGCAGTACAAGAAAAGAAAATATAGGACAATCTTCCTTATGAAAGTAGATACAAAAATCCTAAATAAAATATTAGCAAATTGAATTTATTATCATCTATTGGGTGTCTATTGCTTCGTAACAAACCTCTCCAAAGCTTAGTGGCTTAAAACAACCCCAGTCCTTCATTTTACTCATAAATACTTGATGTGGCTGTGTGCGGCATTCACAGCTTATCTCTGCTTCCTGTCACATTAGCTGGGTGGCTTCGCTGGAGACTGAAGGACCTAATTTCAGGATGGCTCATTCAGCTGGGACCACAGTTCCCCTCCACATGGGTGTCTCTGTGGGATTTGGGGGCTTCTCGCTCGCAGTGCCTGGGTGCCGAGAGCACAGAGCTCAGGGGAACCAGGTGGGAGTAGCACCACCTCTGCGACCTCACTTCGGAGTCCCACCATAGCCAGAGCTCGAGGATTCCCAGGGAGGGGACATAAGCCTGACCACCCAGTGCAAGAAGTAAGAAGTACTGTTGCTGGACAGGCAGGTGAGATCTCACTGAAGCTGTTTTTGAAAAATGCAACCTGGCACACATCACATTGGGGAAAAAATGATCCATTGGGCTTGTCCTAAGAGTGCATGAATGATTAAATTTCATAAAATCTATTAATATAACTAAGTTTATTAAGGGTTAAAGGAGAAAAAAACATAAGTAGATTTTTTTAAATAGACATTTGATAAAATTCAGCCCGAATCATGATATTTTTTAAAAAAGAAACATCTGAGAAAACTAAGAATAGAAAGGAACTTTCTAAACTCGATAAAGGATAGCTACCAAAAATGTATAGAAGGCATCCGGCTCAATAATGAAACTTCAGGAATATTTTCACTGAAGTCATGAACACAGCCAGAGTCTTCATCGTCACCCTGGGTGTTCTCTGCTGCAGAAGGGACGCCGGCTGGAGCAAAGCCCGAGGTAGCAGCGCTCAGCTCTCACCCGGGGCCTCCTCGTGCCTGCCTTTCTGACTTTGAACCTCCTCCACTGAGCCTCCTGAAATGTCATTAACATTCTTGAGTATTTTATGCCTTAGCTTCCCAGCTATATTTTAAGCATTTTGAGGACAGGAATCCACTCTTGCACATGCCCCACAGTTTCAAACACATGTGAACTAGCTCAGTAAACAGTTTGGGATTATCTGAAGGCTGAGGAAAAAGGAGACAGAGTGGCAGAAAGAAACCAAAGGTTGCCTGTCTTGCTTCTGTGGCTGTGCCTTCTGGGAAGTCGTTCTTCTCTGTGGGCTAAGCCTGCGCCCC